ATAATATATATACGTATAGGAGAAAAATATATTTTTGGGTCTATAACAAGTAAAATGTTGAATGAAATTAAGATGAATGATGACAATGGGAACAGATAGTGGGGATTGCATTTGCTTCACTATAAAAAAAAACCCCAGGATTATTTACATTTATTTTACATCTCCTAGCAAAGTACTTGCTGAGTAAAAAAAAATGTACATATAATAAAAAGTAGAGAAATAGCCCCTAAAGATACAAGGGAAGTCAAGATCCTGGCCATTTTCTTTTGTTTCCATGGCAACTGGAACAGTAATGTGAAAAAAAAATAATCCCTGACTTAAATTATCTGCCTACAACAGACCAAAATAGGGCCAAATTGCAGCAGACATACATAATTATCCTTTAAAAAAAAGGAAAAAAAAAAGAAAGAGAAATTCTCACGAGTTGACTGCCAATATAAGAGAGATAGACAAGAGGGTGAAGTGGTTGTAAGTGAGGACGGTAGGGAGACAGTGGTGAGTCAGCAGAACAACAGCCACTTTTCTGCAAAAGCAATTTAATAGTAGGCTAACTGTGGTAATAGTATCACTGACAAGAAATACCAGACCTCATCCCAGTGTGCACCATCCACCCATCTTACAAATAAGGTGAAGGTGAAGGAAATGTGGAGAAAGAGTACTTGAAACAATGAGAGTGATAGCGGATAGGGTGGTAGAGGAGACCCTTATTTATGAGGAAACAAATGGTGCTCACATTACACATAAAATCAGACTAGATGTTGTTAAGATTCATTCAACAGTCTCCCTCATATGTTTATTTGTGCCTTTATTTTTAAAAATTGTTTCTTTTTTTTTTGGTACTTCTCATTCGGGTATCTTTAAACCAGTTTAGAAAACAGTTAGTTTCTGAAACAGAACCCCCAAAAAGTTAGTCTCTGAAGTAGAAACCAGAGAGAAAGTTACAGCTCAGATTCCTAAAACAAGGATTCAAAACTTAGAAAAAACCCCAAGAAATTCTTTCATCGCAAACTGGAAAAAGCATAGCCTTAGCAAAACTAGTACAACTTTTAAAATGATATTGTAAAATAACTGACAATCATAGCTACATATTATTATAATTATTATTTGCATTGAAAATGAGCTAATAGCAAGTGTAAATAAATATATCTAAAACAGCACCAAAATATTAGACGTAACCATGAACAAAAAGTTGACAGACTGAGGCAGGGTATATATACAGGGTTGATTTAATGCTTATTAGGAAAATGTTCATAATCAGTAAGCAGAACTCTTGGGGAAAAAAAATAAGTTGAGTTGTGAGTGAGATGATGGAAAAACTTACAAGTCAATCTTGAGGTTTTTGCATGCCCATTTAGGCCTATTGCTATTCATACAATGAGAATAAACTAAAACAGCTGACGTCCAAATTATATCTTTAATTACCTATTGTGAGTTTCTACGACTTTTGCGGATAACTTTGCACGTAAACAGATTTGAACTCATATCCTTTGCTCCAAAGACAAGTGCCTTGCCATGTTAGCTGATATTATTATTGTCTCCAGTCGAGGGTGTCAATAAAAACTGCACCATGTGACTATGTTTAAATATTCTATCAAAGTTAATGTAGGAAGGGTACTAAGATTGTTGTGTATAATCCTAAGAAACGAAAGTTAGTAAAAGTAAATTTCAACCACCCATTCAATCTTGAAAGAAGTTACAAGTTACAATTGGTTTTACTGCTGGCACTACAGCAACCCCTGGCCCCACAGAGAACGGAGACCCTGGACCTGAGCACTATATCAAGAAAGTTCTGAATGCGGGATTAAAGTTGACCTTTGCCAGAAAGTCTAAACTTGACTATGAAGTTAACAAGAACAAAGAAGAATCATTATTTCTTCTCCTCTTTCTCCCTTAAAACAAACAATCATTTTAATTGCTTGGTTCAATCAGATAAATATCCTTTAAGAAAAAAATTGTGAAACTTAATGTAAAGCAAAATAAACCAAATAAAAAAAGTCAGTGCTGACAATTCTTTTAACTAAACCAGGTTAAATAGAGAAAGTCTTCAGCCCTAGCCTAACTTGATACAATGATTTAAAATCTCTATAATTTGTTCATTGACATCAATCATAGGTAGGCCTACAGATAAGCTGAACTGAACAGTTAAAGTTAAAGATTAGGAGGCCCACTTCTTTAAAGTTTGTTCTTTTTATTCTCCTTTCTTTAAAGGAAAAAAGACTCAAAATAAAAACAAATAATTTAAAATGTAATAATAATAATTATTTTATATAGACTCTAGGGTATATATAATTCTTGTTACCTCAATTTGACAGAATACAACTTGGAAACTCAACTGAGCAGAGCAATCTTACTGTAGTGTTGAGCATGGGAGCTTTTCTTTTTAAATCGTGTTTGATCTATTAATAGACCCTGGTGAATTTTAGAGTCACGTTTGTTGTGCTGACTCAGTTCGGGAAAGTGGCCCAAGCCAAGATTTATAAGTACATGTAGTGGTTGGGTGGGATGACAACAAACTTAGGCCTAGATGATTGGCCAAGCCAAACAACCCCAGAACAATGTAGATAGATACCTATATTTTTTACACCCGAGAACAACAAAATACACGTCGTGTGTTTATGACAAGATCTAAATCTATGTCGTTTGCGTTCAATGGAGGAAGTAGACCTATACCGGTAGGCCTATTATTAAGCTATTATTTTCGTTTCTGCGCTTCGGGTATCGTAAAGAAGAGCGATAGAATCAAGTCAATACGTTAGGAGGACATGGAATGGACAGGGGGCGGGGTGGAGGGGTAGTTCTCCGCCTTATCGCTAGGCTTGATGCGTGCTGAAGGTTTAAGCTAGCCTAGTTAGTAGGTTCTTTTTTAAATTAATAAACTCAATACAGCTTTTCTCACATTTCGTTCAGATTATTGGCCTAAAAGAAACACATTTCTGTTATTTCTACAGGCTGTGACATGTTTGTTGCTGCTTTACGTAGATCTAGATATAGAATCTAGATTTTAGATCTACATCTAGACTAGTTAGTTTCAAAATCGTTGAAACTATTTTATAACCTTTCATTAGAATACTAAGAAACCGTTACGGGCGTTCACAGCGGCAGCAGACTCCGTGCATTCATTCATTCAACTATTTACAAAGAATGCTAGCATTGCAAGCAAGTAGGAAGAAAATTATGAGCTAAACCATGAAAGAGAGAGCCCCACTTATGCTAATGCACCGTCAAATAAGTGAAAGTTCGTATAGCGTGAGTCGGAACCCGATAACGCCGCTTACCTTGACAGGTAAACACAGCAGAGAGGAGAGGCTACTTTCTTTTTCACCTGTGTGCTGTCGACGTCACCAAATTCGGGGTCACCATTCCGTGACGTAAGCGGCAGGGTTCTGTCAACATGGTTGATTGTGGGAGCCCTCGGTGCGCTCAAGAAAGGCGTTCTTTTCGACGAGATCTTCAGACGTGGAGCAAGAAACTTTCTGTTGTGTTAGGTACGTCATTATTTAACTCTTAGTTCGTTTTTATGAGGAAATTGGTACTCGTTTTGCCCTGTGTGTTTTGCCGTAGTTAATGTGTCACTGACAGTTTTTTTCACCAATATTCGGTCATCCCTGCCTACCATCGAAAATGCCGATCGATAGAGTGAGCACCGCTATTCCCGACCGCCTTTGCTCACTCTCTCGCCACGGTAAACGTCTTTCTCATGAGACCTTTGTCTGAACTAGATTCGTAGTGGCCAGTTAGCAGCTCTCTGTCCAACATTAAGCTGCTGTATTTACCTTTTGATAAACTTGGCTGATTTTATTTTTCCCGCCGTTTGTTATTAAAACAGAGAAGAAAAGAGACCATCAGTTTTGCCTTGAATCACCTGGATGTACAAACAAGTAAGCTATGGCCTAGTGGATCACAGGTGTTGTGCTGGACATGGCCAGAAAAAAAGGGAATGTTTTAAGTTAAATGAGGCTGAGGCCTTGTGCATATGGTTTCCTAAATCATAGGGAATTTAAAAAAACAACTGTTTTGAACTTGTTAGAAATAATTGTTAGACCTTTAGTATAGAAATTCTTGATCACAATTCCTTTTAAAACTTAATTTTCATGTAGGGCCTATTTTTCTTTTAAGTTGGAAAATTAATCAAGGATCTAAAATCTGACTCATTAATTATCGCCAAGTCTTTCAAACAACAGCTTTCATGCTTTGTAACATATTTGACATTAAAATTCTTTTATGTCATTGCAGTTTCATTTTTTCTTTCTATTTGTTGGTATTGTTCTTTACTAATACAACAGAAGACTCAAGTTCACGGGCTCTTCAAGTAGAGGTTAATTTTCAACTTTTAAAAACAAATTTAAAAACTCTTGTTTTCTGATTGAATGATTTAATGTTTATTGAATAATAACTTATTTTAAAAAGAAAATAAACCATTCACAATTTGCAAAATTTTCAATGTCTTATGAAAAGATTGGATATGGTTTACAACAAATGCGGATGGTAACGAAAGTTCATTTTAAAATTCTTACAAAAATAATTTTTATGCTGTAAAAAAATTAATTTGCTTGAATTTTGCTTTTGGACTTAACTTCCAAGGAGTTTTTAAAAATCGCAATCATAACATTTCAGCAGCCTCTATTTGGGTTGCACATTATAATTATTCCTATTAGAATTTACCCCCCCCCCCACCCCATCCCATTTTAATTTCCTTTGAAGGGCATACATCATAAAAGCAGCGACTTCTTAAACTTAGTTTTATTGCTTATTATTGGTAATCAGAATATTAAAAGAGAGAGATTTTAAATATTAAAAAATTAGACAAAGAAAGGATTACAAAAGTTAGGATTCAGATGAACTGTTCCCTGGTTGACCAAGAAAATTTCACATTTTGTGCATTTTCAAGTTTTCATAATTCCGATAAACTACCTTATTGATAGGAATGGAGCACGAGATTATCTAGAAACAGGTAAGGATTGTGAAAAAAAATTTTAAAACTATTATTATACTGCTTGTATGAGTCATTCACTAGTTGTTAAAACTTGTCTCCAAAAGATGGAGCCTGTGCTTTGATATTCAAACATGTTGAAAAAGATTTTGATTTTGTTCCGTGATTTTTCCTACCATAGACAGATGCTAATGTTTGAGGCATCATGGGGAAATCAGGTGCTCGTCAAAATAATGAAATTGAAGTAACAGGCATTTTTCCGCACATTTGTGAATTTTTATAGAAATTTTGTTTTTTGGCCCAACGCCTTTTAAAGAACACATTTTGGTGAGGATTTTTCTGAAAAATGTTGATTAAAATCACCCCAAAAAATGTTTCAATTTCCACGGACTGTCAAGCTAAGGAAATAACTATATTTGGCTGTCATTTTCTCACTAATTTTACCTCTGAAACTAGGTGACCCCCACCTCTTTCATTCGCAAATATCTCGATTTAAATTCAAGATAAATGGATTTTTTTTTCCAAAGCAGGATTAATGAACAAGCTTTAAGATGATACTATTAACTCTGCATGCCCCCAAATTGACGAGAGCCTGATTCCACCGCATCGTGACACATTTAGAAATGCTGAACATAATCGTTTGTATTCAAAGAATTGTTAAACAATTTTGTTCCTCCCCCTAATTAAAGCTAAATCTTTGGTTTTCCAATGTTTTTATAGTTTTTAATGCAAGAGGAGTGATGCTGGCACCAGACCTCCTTTTAAACAAGATGCATACCTGTCTCAAGTTTTCCTAGGCACTATCAATAAGAGTTTGAGCTACTTGCCTCTCTTGCATTGCTTTGCAAGTTTTGAAGGATACGATTACAAATTGTAGACTGTTAGCTCCAAATCTTGTATTTTAGACAAATTAATACTTTCTTTTTAAAAAATATCCTTAATTAAAAGGATGTAGAGCAAAAATCAGATGTAGATATATCTTTTTTTAGTAAAGAGGGAGAATTATGTTGTTTCTCATAAAAAGTTATAAAAGTTTAGACAAAAGTTATAAGGCACCCTATATTGCTCAATACAGGAGTCACGAAAATAGAAAAAGGTTAATTAACTTTTGGTTTTACTTTGATTTTTTAAGGAGAAAAATGGTCTAAGAAGCAATTTCATGAGTAAGTGGGAGATGCGTAGGGCTAAGCTCACGGCATAACAAAATCTATGCCATATTTATATAGTAGGCTAGTTATAACAATATCTGAAAGCACAAATTGCATGAAAATTAAAAGTGTCCAAACAACTTTGTGTCTGTAATACCTGTACAAACATAGGAAAACATTGTTGCCTTCTCTGCAGTAGAGTGTTTTTATCAGTGTTGCATAATGAATTGAATAAAGGGTAGGATTCACTTTCTAAAATACTTGAGTTTAATGGGGGGGAAAGTGTCCTATGTATCACAGAATTTTGACAAAGTTTGCCTTCAGTATGAAGGCTAAACTGAATAATGTAGAACAACTTTTCCCTTGAAATGAACCTTGTTGCAGGTGATTCTGAAGTCTGAACATTGTTCGATTTCTGGTATTTGAACAAAATTGCCGAGATCGAGGGAGAGAAAGAGTGACATTTCTTGTTTTTTCTCTGTAACAATAACACATAACTAGTTGGTGATTTTAAAGTTCAGAGATGTTCTGTTGTGGATGTTTTAAAAGAAATAAGTAGATGTTACTGTGTGAGATTCACACTCATGACATGTATTTGAAATTGTATTGGTGAAGTGGGTTAGGATGTTGGGTCAAGGAGGATTTCAAGGTGGCGTTTTAAGATTTTATTCTTGATGCATTGTTTCAGGGCTCGAAAGAATTGCTGCAGACTATGTTGACAAAGACACATCCAAGTACTTGCTCAATCCATATCCAGGTATGTAAAACATCAGATTGTAGAATCTTTTGTAAAATGGCAATTCATATTATCGAAATAATAACCCTGAAATGAAAAAAAAAAGGAACAGCTTAGACCACTTTCATGCTTGATATCTATACTCAAGTGGCTGGATTTAGGTCTTTGTTGGCAGTCTTGTAAATAAGCTAACAGTTTTAATGTACACATTTAATTTGTCTGTACAAAGCATTTTGTTGAATTTTTTTGTCTTGATATTATTCCTTCAACGTTTTCTATTTAAAAGCTTACGATAAATAATTGCCCTGATTCTCTTTTTGTTGTTTGTTTTGTTTTTCTTTGGAGTTTCTTTGCTATTCTATTTAAAAATAATAATTTTTATATTATTTCACTGCTTGTTTACCCTTGATATGCATGTTAAGTATTATTCCAACTTTGTCACCAACAAAAAAAATTACTCCAGTTTTTCTAAGTCAGGGTGTAAAGCATGGTCAGTCAAAGGTACTCAGTTTTCTTTCTGCGGCAACAAAAGCGCATTTTTTTCAATTATGACGAATATGATGTTCATGATTTTCTAAATTCTTTACTTTCTTCAGAATGGGAACAAGAAATGTGTCAGGACTTTGAACCCAGCAAACGGTGCTTTCATTGTGACAAAAAACTGCCAAATGTTTATGTAAGTATGCTCCCAAATAGTGGTTACTTGCTTTTCATGCCCACACTATAGAAAAATTAATGTGAATAAGGCAAGAGAAAAAGAAACACTTAGTGCTGCACTGTATACATATCTCATACGTCTCGACAATTCGCCACCCAGTGCACTATAACAATATCATGTAAGGCGGCTAAAACACATGTTTTATTTTATTGATATCTCAGCTTCTACTAAGTTTTAATAAAGAAACTGACATTTTTTGAAAATTTAGCGTTTTAGCTATGACTATTGGACTGGAAGCATGGATTTTGTATCCGAAAACAGAGCGAGATGTTTTCTTTTTCTTACACACATCTTGTGAGACAGAGCTAATGCATTTACTCTGAAAGCTCAGATCGTTACAGTTGTTTACTTCATTATGGCTTGTTCTACCTAGATCTTATCAATGGACAAAGCCATCTCTTCTTTTCTCTATCTACTGATATACAGTTTGATGTAAAGCACGAGTTGTGTTACAGATAAAACAAAGCAAAGTGTCTTTCTTGCACACATCGTGCGGACAGGACCAGCACATAGAATAGGAGTGCTTGTTGTCTCAGTACTTTCATGTTGTTTACATCATTATGGCTTGTTCTTAGCACATCTTGTCAATGGATGAATTCATCTCTTCATTTCTCTTTTTATTGATGTAAGTTTTACCGTTCGTCTCTTATAATTAGAAAACAACCGTTGATTAAAGATTGTGATCTGTGATGTGCCTTGCTCACAATGGCATTTTCCTTAGTATCTCGGGTGTATAAACGGTGAGTATTCAAAGGGTTAATAATCAGAAATCTTCCTTTCTGTACATGAAAATAACCTGGACAAAGGCCAATAGCTGTTTTGCTTCCTTCGCACTTTACATCTTAAGCAACATTCTGTTTCCCCTAAAATGTTTTATTTTACTCTTTACAAAATCTTTATTTTCAGAAACGTATCCAAAGAATCATAGATGAAGCAAAGAGAGGCAAAGAGAGTAATGGACGCATTTGTAAGTTTTTTAGTCATAATTTTTTGCCTCACTGTGAATTTTTTTTTCTTTGGTTCTATGATGAGTGTCTGTATTTTCTTTTGTATCCATTTGTTGCTTGCAGAGGGTTTTTGTGACCTTATCTAGTTTACCATTCTCGCACAAATGAATGAATAGCTCTATTTTTTTTTGCAGTAGAAGCAATGATTTAAAAAATGTTATGGTACCTAATTTTTGGAAGTGTTTTTATGGAGAAAACTATTATTTTTATTTTTATTCTCTCAAAGAAACTTTTCGTATGACATCTCCTCATATGCTATGAACAGCTGTGGATTGACGCAGATAATGTCATTTAGCTGGGTGAAAATCAAAGGCCAGGTTGAAAAGGAAGCAGATATAGTCAATTAAACGATATCGCTTAAATGTTAGTATGTGCTTGGCTCAGATAGAAAAACATCATAAAAATTCACTGCTTTTGCAATAGGGTATAGCAGCTTTTAAGAAAGAAATTGAAGGTTATTTTAGCATATGTAACTTCTAGACCTTAATTTAGAAAACATTATGAATGTTTATCCAAAAGTTAGGATGCGTTTTCAGACATTGCGTTTTTAGAATTGTCACAAAATTAATAGTTTTTGCTTTAGGGTAGACTGAATGTTTTCTTTGAAAGATTGATAGCTTTTTTATTGCAGCTATATGACGCCTTTCATTTGAATTGCTAAATGATTCAAAGAATAAATGCCAGTATAATGTGGAGATACACTTTTTTTTTGCAACTGCAGTGCTTTGGAAAACATCACCAGGTTGTTTTTTTTTACTAGAGGAGTAAGCCGGGAGCTTTTTAAATTGTGTAAAATTATTTTTCTATTGAGTAAGGCAAGATGATAAAAAGATCCAAATAATAGAGATCTGTCTAGCACGGTGTTGAGATGCATTTTTACTGATTTATCCGTCATAACGTGTGCATAATTTGTTATGTTGATTTTATTGAATGTAGAAAATCTACTGCCCAGTTTTTGGTCACGTTAATTGCCTTTGTTGCTTTCTCCATGGTTTGATGCCTTTCTGCTCAGTTTGACATTGTTGTTGTGTTTTTCTTCAGCAGGTTTGAAGTTTTTATTCGAAGTTTTTCTGCCTTTCTTCTCAGATTCTTACATTATTGTTTTCTCTCTTCTTCACCAGGTTTGAGGTCCCTCCAGGATTTGATGCCTTTCTGCTCAGATTTTTACACCCATGGGTTTGGTCAAGAGCTCTTCAACGATGTGGTCAAGACCTATTTCCTAACTGGACTCCAACAGCCAGAGCAGAGAGAGGAACTACAGCCTGTGCCATTGTCTGTTTCTGTCTCTCTTCCAGACGTTGATCTATCCAGGATAAAAGTGCCTCATCCAAGCCCCCATGTTATAAGGTAAGTGGAATTTGTAATGCTAAATGCGACCAAAATATTTTATCTGGTGCTTAGTAAAAATTAGGGCTGTGTTGATGGAAAGAGACCTAAACATATCTTTATGAAATGTGAAATTTGTGTTACTTTCAATGTTTGATGGTATGAATTCCTATCATTACATTTGAATGCAGTATGTCTATCTTGGAATAAAGAATTATTGGACAGGTTTTTGGAAAGAAAAAAATATGTTCCGCATAAAAAGTAAGGGACATAATTTCTTGTGCAAAAATGTGCAAGCCAGTATGAAATAGCTGTTCAATCTTTTTGTCTTTATGTCTCTCTCTCTCTCTCTCTCTCTCTCTCTCTCTCTCTCTCTCTCTCTCTCTTTCTCTCTCTCTCTCTCTTTCTCTCTCTCTCTCTCTCTCTCTTCCCCTCCTTGCTTCTCAATCCCCTCCTGCTTCTCTCTCCCTCCCTCTCTTTCCCCCACTCTCTCTCTCCCTCCCTCTGCTTTAATAGAAAAGTCATCATGTATGTATCATCAGTTGCTTTCTGTTCAGATATCTGAGCTGTAGTATGGAATGCAGAGGTAAAATGAACATGAAAAAGTATTAAAATTTTACTTCTTTTCCACATATGCTGACAAATTTGGGATTTGAATGCCCTTTGAGTATTATTGATGAGTTTTCATGTCTGTGTTCTGAGTTTTCATGTGTAAATTATTTTAATGCCTTCCTGAAATGACAAATGATGTTTTGCTTCCCCACAGCAATAGTCTTGGTTTAGCACATCTAATTCTGGCTTTACAGTCTCAACTCTTAGGTTTTTCATTCTGCGGAGCAAACAGGTTATTGAAATTTTTTTCTGAAATGATTTTAAAATAAAATTTTGACATCTAAGCGTAATTGTATTATTCTCAAAAGTTGTTGTAACCTGTTTGTCTCTTTGTCCTTTTTTTTGCCTCAACTCTCATTTGATAAATTAAAAACTGTTTTCGTCTGTTTCAGAAACCATAAAACTGAAGAAGTTTTAAATCAAGAGTTTAGAGAGCATTTGGAGGCAGCAGCAACGAGTTCTGATATAAATAAGTCTAGCCACCACAGAGGGACGATGCTGTATGATTCTGTAGGTCCCGGCTTGTCTAGCATAACTGTGAAGCCTGACCCTGACCAAATCATTATCACTGACGACGAGGAAGAGGCAGATATTGTCCATAACTGCCGCAGAAGCAAAATGGATATGTACAAGTACCCATCCCCGTCTCATCTGCCCGGCCTTTCGTACTCGGAGCAAGCTGCTGCTTTGTATGCCATGAGGGAGATGGTGCTGCCGGCACCTCCACTGGCCTTCATGCCGTTCCCATTCAGCATCAAGCTGGATGAAGAGGAATGTCATGAGCTAGAGGTTGAGAGTCGTTTGTCTCACATTCGACGCATGCACAATCTGAATGGTTCCAGTAGGACCCAGCCTCGGCCTGCACATGCAAATCAGTTGAGGCTGCCTTTGCTTATTGATGTGGTGAGGAAGCTTGTGCGACAGAAATTTCTGGAAATCAAACAAAATCACAGTAAAAAGCAGACCCCATTTGAAGCTCAGGACCATCAAGAAAGGCAGGAAGCTGATTTATTCAGCCCATTTGGTCCCTATTTGCCAGCCTTCACCCCTGCTCTAGCAGCTGGAAGTCCTGACAGTGAAGTGATGTCATCTCCTTTGTACAAGCACATAATGGAGAGCATCTATGCCAACATGATGCGGGAGGAAACCCCAGTACCCAAGCCTTTTGGGAAAGTAAACGAAAGCAGTCGTATCGGTGACACACTTAAAGATATCATTGCACGAACAATCATGGAAAAAATGAGGTTTAGAGATACGAGCTCAGACGAGAATTCTGTGCCATCCAGCCCAGATGCTCATCACAGGCTCAGCAGCAGCAGCAGCAGCAGGACGGGCCATGGTGCTTTTATTCTCAACACCACCTTGCCTCACATGAACAAAGAGTCAAAGCTCTTGGGTGAGTGCTCACCCCCAAAGCGTGCAAAGAAAGACAGCAGCAGTTCCAAATCTCGAAACAGCAATGGATCAAAGCAAGAGTTAACTGATGCTAATGGGCAGCCGGTGAAGAAGACACGCCCCAAGCGAGGCCAGTACCGTAAGTACAACTCTCAGCTGTTGATGGATGCGGTGAAGGCGGTGCAGAGAGGTGAGATGAGTGTGCACCGTGCAGGCAGCTACTTTGGTGTGCCACATTCCACTCTAGAATACAAAGTGAAAGAGCGACATCTCCTGCGTCAGAAGAAGGCCCGTGAGACCCAGTCTCCATCGGGTGCAACTCCTAAGAGTGGAGATCCGCCACCATCGACTGCGACAACGACCACTCATGGTAGTCAAGGTGGAGGGGACTCAAGCAATGGGTCGACTCCTGTGGACTCATGCAATACGACATCAAAAAAGCCTACAATCATTTCTTCACCGCCCGTGCGATCATTATCCTGTTCCTCTTCCTCTTCTTCCTCCTCTGCCCCTCCTGCGACTGCATCTACTACATCTCAGAGCAAGAAATCCTCAACAGCCCCTCCGTCTGTCAAGCTACCAGCACCTTCTCCACGGTCAATATCCCCTTACAGCTCCGCTATAACTTCATCGTCCTCTAGTGCCTTAGTCCCCCCAGTGCAACAGAACAAGGAATCCTCCAGTCTCACGTGGTTCCCCCCGTATCTTGGCTCTCCAGCTCCGAGTCACTTGGAATCTCCAGTGACCTTTGCCCCCCAGAGTCTGTCTTTGAACAACTCGGCCTCAGAGCTACTAAGGAAATTGCAGCACAAGGTCCAGACAAAGGAGTCTACATATACCCGAGAGAGTGCATTTGACTTCCCAATTGGGAAAGAACATCACATGTTTGATCTGTCGCAGGCTGAAAGCTCCATGTCTGTCATGCCAGAGAGACTTGCTTTGTACAACCAAACTGTTTAATGTCCTGCTCGCAGTGTTGGATTTAGGTATAAATTTAAACATAAGAAAACTACCAGTAGGGGAGGGGGGGAGGTGGGGGCCATTCCTTTGACATTCCTTTGACATTAGTATGAATTCTGGGAAAATGTTAATTTCAAGAAATGTTCTTAATTATCCATATTTGTATACAGTAAATAATGTTGCAAGACCATTATGACATTCACTTCTTACATATAAAGGGTCATATACTCGGCCCCTCAATGGAGTAAGAGACTCACAAGCTTATTATTGCTTTGGGTTTCGGGATGTCTAAATCCAGCACTGCCTGCTTGCTTTGTGATATCTTTCGGGATCACATTTACAGAAATATGAATATTTTATTGTACTTTTCCAAAAGGTTCTCTTTGACCAGAGATAAGATTTTAAAAAATGGTCTATAAGATATTGTCTATTTCTATTTTGATACATTCGCTTTTTCGATGTGCTTTAACTAGTCATTCCACTGACCTAGATTTCAGTGTTCTGGATATCTGTTCTCATGACAAAATTATAGACTTTAATTGTTATGCAGCAGTTTCATAGTGCTCAATGAAGGCAACAAACAGTCTATATCTGATTGTATTATTTTTAATGTACATGTTTTCATGTCTCTTTTAGGGTAGTTTTGTCAATGACTAATATGTCGGTGGGGAACTCTCAGCTCTGAATAACTGACCACATTGAATGAAGTGAAAGGGTATTAGTTGTTGTTACTCAGTTAATTTTGTGATGATGCTTGGCCATGTCAACCCCAACTCTAAAAGTTATGATTATATAACATGTGTATGAGAGCACTAAGACACCAGTACGTTGACAGTGCATATTTTGATATCAAGTTTGTATACACCTACAAACTGAGACTCTAGTCAAGTGTTCAAAATATAAATTGATATTTATTTAAACAATACAGATGATGGGGTTTTGCTCAATATTATTATCTTTCTAGATTTGTCAATCCTGTTGCGTATTTATATATAAATATATATGTATTTACATTGAGATTGAAATACACGTCACAACGAGCCCTGTTGTTGCATTTTGTATGTTGCTATTGTGTGCTAATGTTACATTCCACTTACCTGAAATCCTGAGGACAGGTTTGTATACATTTATGTCAGGTACATAAATTGAAAAAAAATTATTATATCATTTCTGAAAAGCTTTTTATGCAAATTCTTCTCTTGTTTAGGGTCGGATAAATTTACAGACAATATTAAAAGACTAAAAAGACTACTTTTTCTTTTCATCCTTTGCTCATCAAAGAATCGGTGGGGGAGGGGGCATATTTGTTCATAAAAACGATCAATGCAAATACTTTGAGAAGGGTTAATTAACTCTTGTTTTTGTTTCTTTTCTCTGTTGGTAATACTTTAGATAGTGGGAAGGGCCAGTCGGAGGACTTCTGCAAGATGTTTGATGGGGCAGCTGGTATGCCCCACTTTTGTCCAATCCTTTTGTTAGTTGTATCTGGTGTCTTGCTCCCCCCCCCCCCCTCCCCCTGGCACTGTGCTATTGTTTTGTTTATTACAAGACAATGAGATTACTGTGCATAACTTGTAAGAAAAAAAGACTTTAGGCCTTTCAATCGTAAAGAAAGATAAAGTTTTAACTAAACTGCTTTTTTTTTTTTCAACAATACTCGTCAGAGGAGTGAACTTTGTGTTTTTGCCTGCATTTTTATGGAAACATGGCATGTGTATTTTTTAATGAACGATATTTGCCTAACTTCTCTTGAATGACATCAGTAGTTCGGCCACTGTTTCCATTATACTAGCATTAGTGTCCTGACTTTGTACATACGTAAATGGTTGTGAAACAGCTATTACATGTTGTGCGTGAAAAAGTGCAATATTTTGTTTCAGCTTTGTCTGAATTTTTATGGTTTTTTGTTTTTTGTTTTGAAGTGCATAATAAATTGTTTGGGTGTTCTAAAACCATTTTATACAGCAGGCATAATTATTAGGCTTACTCTTAAAAAGTAATCTTGAACGTTAAGAATTGCTTGACTAATATTTCTCTTGTTTGACTTTTAAGTATTATTAATTTGCTTAATTTTTTATTACCCCAGCTATTACTAGCAATCTCAATAACTTATCTGTTAGCTATTTTGGTAGACTCTAATTTTATTTCAAGTAAGTCTAAAGTTCACAGTGGTACAACTGAAAAATTTTATTTTATACAATTTTTTTGTCCTCTAGAAATGAATAAGGGCTTGCCTAGATAGCTAGGATTTTCGGGTTACAAGAAATCGGTTTGTGAATAGTTGAAAAAGTTTTTAAATGTCCTGTTTATCTGTCTGTCAGTTTAATCCAAGTTTACAGTTTACATATGCGAAGTGAAGTGTTCAGTGCAAATCAGATTTATATACTGGATGACTGTCGCTCGCATTTCAGAACCTATTATTGTGTCTCAATTTTTGCTAAATTGTCATTGTCATGTGGAGAGATTCTCTTACTTTTTTAAATGATTATCTTCTTCCCTGCATATTTCTTTCATCTTTCATTTCATATTGAAGCAAGTGAGAAAAAGATTTTTTGCTCCTTTTGATTGCAGATTGCCTTAATGAGTGGAAAAGAAAAGAAAAGCCTTAGCCATATCTGCCAAAACAAATAAACATACCTACAAATATTAAAACAGAACCTGGAGATGCACCCAGAAGAGAAAGCGTGAAAAAACCCAGGTTGTTCTTGGCAGGTCTCCGACACACATGCATTTGTTCAATGCTTTGTGCACATTTTTATTTTTAATGATTTTTACAGTGCCTGTTTTTTTTCTGCCTTGTTTTGCTGCACATTATGGATTACTTCACTTTAGTAAGCCGTAAATGTCTACATGTATAACATTGTATGTATGGCACTGCGTTTTTATCCATGCATATTGATTCTTTTCACTTTTATTTGGTATAAACAGAAATAAATTAGCTTTTTATCTTTGTTGACACGTGCTATATTTACTTGAATACCAAATGTTTTGGTAGAGCTTGGAACTGAATGTATTTTGCTTCAAAATTATGTGTACATATAACTATTACTCAGATTTTTTAATCTACAAATCAAATGTTTTATAGATCTGTGGATTTTTTTTCGTTTAAAAAATACGATGATGACGGTGATGATGATTTTAACTTGGTTCTAGTCTGTGCCAGGGCACAGTGTTCATGTTTATTAGTGTCTAGTCTTGTATTTCCCTAATTAAAAATGTCAAATTTTCATATAATGTACATATGCCATGTTTTATAATGGTGCCAACTTTTACCAAATGGAATGGCTTTCATCGAAGATTAAGCTATTTGTATGCTATTTTATACTCATAGGTTGTTTACGATTTAAAGAGTATACTATATGCAGATGTCTCAAGGTATCTGACATCGGCTTTAAAACCTTATTTCTCCCTCTTGCGATTTTTTGAGAAATGTGGATACTTGTATTTAATTTTCATTCAAATGGAAACATGTGCAAAATGTGGTGGGTTTGTTTTTTGTTTTACAGTTGTTGAAATGTTTAATGTTTTCTATAGTTTTGACCTTTAGAAGGGATGTCCTAAGCCTTATTCAGCGCTTTGAAAAATATTGATCCTTAAATTGCTTAGAAATTAATTATCCATTTCAGTTATATGTGGTGAATTTTAAAGTCTGTTCTTTGTTGCAGAACAGCATTGTGTCTTTTCAAGTGGATTTTTTTTTTCATTACAAGGCAGAGACCATGAGTGCGATATTCTTCTTGGTTTGCATTGAGTACAGAGTCATGTCAGTGAAATGATGTTGTAGTTGAAGCTGCTTCTGGATGTGCAGATTTTGCATGTGATCAAAGAAAAACATGAAATTACCAAAAATGATTGCAATATAAAAAAAAAAATCATCACTAGAAATGAGGAGAGTTACGGTGCGCAGTGCTTGAGGAAGATGGGAGTTGCGTAAGCAAATATTTGAATGTTGATCATTATCAGTTTTTACCCCCTTTACTTTCATTTTTTAAAATGTTACTTGCTGATCATTTTACCACTTTTGTTTGGTAATAAGGATATGAGGATTATTATTACCTGAAATTGCAAGTGAAGTCATCTTTTCTGAACCTTGGAATCAATTTTCATATTGGCAAAATTATAAGATTTTTACCTGTTCGGTATAAAGGCAAATTCGTACAGGCTAATGAAGATGATGTGGCCTTTTTCCTTGTGTGTCATGACACGGTATAATGAGGCACTCGTCAATTGTTTGGCATATGGGCTTATATTATTGATGTCATCTTAAATTTTTTTCATAAGGCCTTGCATTTGATGAAAAAAAACATCCAATTATCTTGAACAGAAGTTGAGATATTTGCAAGTGAATGGGGTGGGGTCGACTGGTGTCAGAAATAAAGGTAGCGAGAAAATGGCTGCTGAAGTTAAGTGACTTCCAAGGCTTCAGAGTCAATGCAAACTGTAAATATACATTATTTTATTCCTTTGATCAACGCTTTTCAGTAAAATCCTCTTGGAAATGAATTTCCACAAAAAAGGTGTTGAGTCAAAAAACTAAAATTCAATTAAAAAATTGTTAAACTGGTGGAAAAATGCTGGTTTCTTCAGTTTAATTATATTGACGAGTGCCTGATTTCACCACACTGCCTCACATATGAGGTTATAAGTAGCTTGATCCAAGTTCTGCAGTTTTTTAGTTTAGTTACCAGTGACAAAGGGCTAGGAAATGTCACAGCCTTATTTTTTCCTTCTAATGAGTTACTGGCTGAGAGCCACATGGGGTTTTCATTCTTGGAAAACCAAGGCACAATAAGTTGATAATATAAAAACCAAGACACTGATCATCATGTACGCGGTATTGCGTTGATCGTAGGGTTTGTTTCTGTAGTCAAAAACATTTTCCTTGAATAGGGTCGAAGTACTGTCAAGAAAGATCTCATTGCTCATCTTGGATGCTTTTCATAGTGTGGACTTAACGTGTCTGGTTTGTGTGTTGGATCAGATAAGGGTTTCAATAATGAATCTGTGCTGAAGTGGGGAGTGGGGTGTACACATAAAAAAACACAGTAT